CCCCCCGACCCAAATCCATTCCCTCCATGAGAGCTTTTGTGGGTGTTGCAAAATAGCAGCACTTGTAGAGGTACATGATGGGGGCATCAGCCAAAAAAAAAAAGAATCTGTAATGACCCTTCCGAAATGTAAAAAAGCCACCAAAAGTCCAAAATGAAATAAAAACACACCTCAAAACAAACAATGAGCATAATAATGGCCTACATACTATAATAGGGTTTGATACAATAACACAATAGAACTGGAATATGAACCCTCCATATAGATCTAGTAATCTAGATAAATCTAGATATAGATCTAGATCTAGATCTAGTAGAACAAGTGAATAGGAATAGGCCTCGACTTGAATGAAATCCGCATCCGAACAGAGGGGCTCAGCCTAACAATCTACGCACCTGTTGAAACGCACTTTTACCAACATTAACATTACAGCACAACCTATAATAGGGTTTGACACAATAGAATCCGAATATGAATCCTCCATAGAGGTCTATAGTGATCTATATAAATCTAGGTCTAGATCTAGTAGAACAACTGAGTAGGCCTTGAATGAATCCACATCCGAACAATCGGTCAACAGAAAAAATTTTTAATGGCCGCCCGATCACAAAACTGGAAGTATATCTAATTTACATCGTCATCCTTTTCATATATTCGTATTTCTACTCAGGTTCCGACACTTATGTCTGAAACATCGACAAACGGAACAAAAACGTAAGTGCAGACAAAGCCAACCAGAGAAAAAGGAGGCGCTGGCAATTGGCCAGGCCTCGCACTTCCACATTGACAAATACAGGTGAGCCTAGCGATAGCATCGGCCGGGTCGTGATTGTCAGATTTCAGATGACTGTTGGCAAGCATGCAGGTCTAATTCCTCACAGATATACCAGAACACCCTCCAACAACGCTCACAAATAAGAATACTGCAGACAGAAAGTGCAGAGCTTAGTTTGAGTAAAGAAAAGCACATCAACACTAAAACTAGACCTGCATGTGAGCCTCAACCAGATTGTCTGAAAATTTTGTGCAACCCCCCCCCCCCCTCCATAAGAGCTTTTGTGGGTGTCATAAGGAAGGACTTTTCCGAGTAACGAGCGACCACCCCAACAAACACAATAAAGAAGAGACCTAACCCTAACCCTACCCCAAAAAAGAAACTGCAACTGGCCTCATGTAAAAAGGCCAGCACAAGTCCAAAATGGGGAGAAAAAAAAAACCACACTCTAAAACAAACAAAGAGCATGCATAATATGGCCTACATGAGCCTACATCTACATTGCTATAATAATGTTTGATACAATAACACAATAGAATTGAAATATGAATCCTCCATAGATCTAGTAATCTAAATAAATCTAGATCTAGATCTAGATCTTGTAGAACAAGTGAATAGGAATAGGCCTTGAAGTAGAAATCCGCATCCGATTCCGAACAGAGGGACTCAGCTGAGTATAGATTCTATAATCTATAAATAATTCACGCACCTGATGAAATGCTTTTTACCAACTTTAATATTACAGCACAACCTATGATAGGGTTTGACACAATAGAATTGGAATATGAATCCTCCATTGAGGTCTATAATGATCTATTTAAACCTAGATCTAGATCTAAAACAAGTGAGTCGGACTTGAATGAATCCACACCATCTGAACAATTGAATTTTTCAACAAACAAAATTCAAAATGGCCGTTCGAGCACGAAACTGAAAGTAGATAATTTAGGTCGTCGTCCTTTTTCGCATTCGCATTTCTACTCGGGTTCCGACAATTATGTCGGAAACGCCGACGTCGGCAGTCGGCACGAAAATGAAAGTGCCGACAAAGCCGATGGGAGAAAAAGGTGGCGCTGGCAGTCGGCCAGGCCTCACACTTCGCACATTGACTGATAAAGGTGGGCCTAGCGATAGCATCGGCCGGCTCGCGGGTCGGGATTGTCGGATTTCCGACGATTGTCGGCAAACATGCAGGTCTATAAAATGACTATTTAGTACACAGGAAAAAATGCAAGATGGACAGACAAAAAAAAAAGAAAAGAAAAGAAAAGAAGATGATGGACATACCATCACTGGTGCCTAACCCCCCCCACCCCCAAACCATCCATTAACAACAGTGACATAATAGGGATATCCTACCCACCAGAAGTGCTCCTTGTAGACACACACAAGAAATAGCACCCTCCAATCAACCCAGCCTACAAAGAATGGTGACAAGACATCTCAACCTGAAGAACTCCTTGCACACACACACACACAAGAGCACCATCCAACCAACCCAGGCCTCTGAACTCCCTGTTCACACGTAAAAGCACCCTCCAACAACCCCAACCTACACAAGGACTTCTTGCACGTTTCTGTGGTCAACATCCTCCAACTATACACATATAAGAGCCCCTTCGAACCACCCCGGTCCTCAGAAGGACTCTGCTCACACACAAGAACACCCTCCAACCACCCAAAATTACAGGACTCCTTGTGTGTCTGTACGACCAACAACCTGCAACTACATACACATAAAAGCACCCTCAAACCAACTCAACCCTCAAAAGGACTCCCACATGAGAGGACCCTCCAGCCATCCCAACTTACAGAAGGACTCCTTGCGTATCTGTACAGTGAACCCTGTGATTGGCGTGCCCCCGTCAAAACTGAGGCTCCACGAGACCTGGACGCTGTTAAGCAGTTGGTCGTAGAGCATCACGCTGGTCACCACGGGCCGCGATGGACGATCTGAAGGAATGAAATATATACAAGAAATAGTTGACAGTTTGTACAAAAGAGACGGTGCAACTCAAGCAATTTCGCCCAAGCTGCACAGGCAACTTTTGCTATTACACCTACTTATGCAATTTTTTCCTGAACCATACCACCTTCACAGACAATTTTGTTCATGCTATTCAATCTTCATCATCAATTTTTGCTACCCATATTCACTGGCAATTTTGTCCGCTCAATTCCATCTTCACATATAATTCTTGCTGTTCCATCTTCGCAGACAATTTTGTGAGATCTCATACCATCTTTAGAGGAAAAATTGTGATAAGAAAAAAAAAACAGAATATAAAAAGTATGGCAACTAAATTGCGACTCAAGTGATAACTGAGCAAGTCAAAATCCTACCAATGACGTTCAGCGTGGCATTCCTGGCGTCCCCACCCCCAGCAGATGAGACCACACACTCGTAGATCCCGCTGTCCCCCGAATTGAGATCTGTGATGGTCAGCGAGCCATCGGGGCCAATGAGCTTCCTGCCACTGGTGCCGTTGATTTCTGTCTTGCCAAACACTGCTTCCAGGTAGAAGAACCATCGCCAGGAAGGGGTCACTGAGGGGTCACTTCGAACGCCACAGTCCAAACTGGTGTCTGTGGTCAGGATGCTACTGGTGTCTTGAGGAGGGCGGAAGATCTGGGTTTTGACTGTCAGAAACAAACAGACAATGAAATGACAAATAACAAATTTCCTTTATCCATAAGAAAATTTTATTACTTAGCAAAAAGTTTGGGGTTTTTTAAGGGGTGGAGGGGGGTGGAGGAACACCTGATACCTAAAATTCAGGATTTCCGTCAGGTGCTTGAGGGAAGAAATTTTTGTTGACGAGCCCATCACGATCTTGCAAACATAAAGCCCTTTCATGTCACATATTTTCATATAGCATATTCCAGCATGACTCATTGGAGTTTATTTGTGTCTATTCTCCAGTTTTGGAGTCTACCAACCATCAGTTTTGCTACCTGCCAAGTCTTGAATGCATTCTTCTTATTTAATCGGTATTAAGATCCACAGAGTATTTCCATTTGGTAGAAGGACACCTGGTACTACAGCAAGGAAGATGCAAAGGATACACAGTGTAAAGAAAAAGATTTAAATGGAGAATTAACCAAAATAAATGGATTTTCCCTTATGTCGACATTAATATTCCTCAGGATATTCAAGATATTTCTCATAATACTTTTCCAAAATTTCAACCTGCATGATCTTCTTCAAGAACAAGAAGACCCCAGTCTTTCACAACATGACACAAGAACAAAGGACACCAGCCCAGCAACTGGAATACTTACAAGAAGAAATAAGATAAAAATGTAAACATGAACCAATCATCATAACTGAACTGCAAGAATCTTACCGATGACCGAGAGGGTAGCGTTTGCCGAAACGGTGCCCTTGATGTTGGACCCTGTGCACACATACACACCAGAATCGGCCATCTCCACACGGCCAATCAAAAGCTGGTCATTTACAAGACGAATCCGACCACCGATTTCTAAACTCTTGCCATCTGCACACATGAAACAAGAGGTCAAAATTTAGTTGCTATTGTCATCACTTCACCCACAAGAAACTGGGCACTAGGAAAACTGTACAAACAGAACATGTAACAACACCACTATTTAATGCAACCGTGAATATCCCCTTAGAAGAAGTATGATTGTCTTGACAGCTGTTTATGTGTCTATCAGTAGGGATGCCAAACTTCAAAATATTCAGTTTACATCAACTTTACAACTATAAGCATGCAAGACCACAAAATATTCAGTTTACATCAACTTTATAAAACTATAAGCATAAGAAATGCTAAACTACACTATAAATTCAGTTTACATCAACTTTACAAGACGTATAGAAGATATAGTTGGGCCATGGGGACTGGGTAAAGAGAATGGACGGGGGGAATGACTGGTAGAATGGGGCAAAGTAAATAATTTTATGATATCAAACACCTAGTATGAAAACCACCCAAGATGACGATACACTTGGAAGAGTCCTGGCGATAGAAGTAGAAATCAAATAGACTTTATACTTATTAAGAAACGTTTTAGAAACACAATAAAATCATCTAAATCAATGCCAGGAGCAGACTGATAGTGATCATGTACCAGTCAGGTGTAAATGCGGATACGACTAAAGAAACTCAAAAAATAAAGTATGAACCGAAATTTGACATAGGTCTTTTCAAGACAAATCAAGAAATGAAAGAACGTTTCTCCATAGATGTAAGAAATAAATTTCAAGCCTTGGAAAACATTACTAAATCGGAAGAACTATGGAGGAAAATGAAAGACTCAATAACGGAAGCTGTGGAAGAAAATATCCCCCCAAAAGCTAAAAAAGCTAAGAAAAAATGGAAGACCCAGGACATATTAAAACTAATGGAAGAGAGCAGAAAGGCAAAATCAAATGAGGAAAAGTACAACATCTTAAACAGGGAAATAAAGAAAAAATGCAACGAAGCAAAAGAAACATGGATAAATGATTAGTGTCAACAAATAGAGAAGAACCAAAACAAAGACAGCAAATACATGCATTCAAAAATCAAAGAACTAAGTGGGATAAAAGGATGCTCAAATACAGGTTGCATAAGATCAAAGGGAGGGGATATTTTAATGGACAACGGGGATGTCTTAAACAGATGGTCAAAATACATAGAAGAACTTTTCAAAGATAATAGAGGAGAAAAACCATTAATAAAGAATGAAATAAATGGACCACCAATATTGAAAGCAGAAGTACAAGCTGCCATTAGGAAAATGAAACAAGGAAAAGCCACAGGGCCAGATAATATTCCAGTTGAAGTGATTGTCGCACTCGAAGAACTAGCCACTGAAATAACAACAAAGCTCCTAAATGCTATTTAGGACAGCGGTGAGATCCCAGAAGATATGATGAAGTCAGTTTTTATAGCTTTACCCAAAACACCAGGTGCCACTGAGTGTGATATGCATAGAACAATTAGCCTTATGAGTCATTTTACAAAAATATTGCTGCGAGTAATAATGGGAAGATTGAGAAGAAGTGTAAGACCACAGATATCTAAAACGCAATTCGGCTTTGCTCCTGACAAGGGCATCAGAAATGCTATATTCACCTTACAAAGGTTAATGGAAAGATGTATTGAAGCACAGAAAGATCTGTATTTATGCTTCATAGATTATTCAAAGGCGTTCGATAAAGTTAGACATGATGAGCTATTTAAAATACTGGAAAAGGTAGACATAGATGGAAAAGATGTAAGAATTATCAGAAATTTGTACTGGGACCAAAACGCTGCTGTACGAATTAATGGAGAATACAGTGAATATAAGCAGATTAGGCGAGGAGTGAGGCAAGGATGTGTCATGTCACCAGACCTTTTTAACATGTACAGTGAAACAATCCTTAGAAACATAGAATGATGTCCAGGCCTCAAAGTAAATGGAGAAAATATTAATAACATCAGGTATGCAGATGACACGGTTTTAATAGCAGGCTCCGAAAAGGACCTTCAAATACTTCTAGATACTGTTGTTAAAGAAAGTAAACGTAAAGGATTATTGTTGAATGTAAAGAAAACAGAAGTCATGGTAATATCCAAAAAAGCAGCAAATCCTAGTTGTAATCTCATTAGCAAAGGTGAAAAGATCAAACAAGTCCAACACAGTTTAAATATCTAGGATATATGATAACATCTGATGCCAAATCTTCCACAGAAATAAAAAGGAGAACTGCAATGGCTAAGGCTAGTTTCAATAAAATGAGCCCAATCCTGAAAAATAGAAACATCTCAATGAACACCAAAATGAAAGTCCTGAAATGCTATGTTTGGTCAACCCTTCTAATGGCTGTGAATGCTGGACAATCACTAAAGACAGTGAAAATATAATAGAGGCAACAGAAATGTGGTTTCTTAGGAGACTGCTAAGAGTATCGTGGAAGGAAAAAAAATCAAATGAGGTAGTGCTTGATGAAGCCCACGTGGGACGCTCAATGTTAAAAACAATCAGGAAACAACAAATGCAGTTTTTGGGACACCTGAATAGACATAAGGGTCTTGAACATCTAGCTCTCACTGGCAAAATTGAGGGCAAGCGAGGCAGGGGTAGGCCCAGAACAACATACTTAGGGAACCTAAACAAATGGGTAACAGGGAAAGATCAGGGAAACGTAGCTTTTTTGAGAGCATCCGAGCAAAGAATGAATGGAAAACCATGATCGCCGACGTCTGTTGCAGATCTGGCACTGGATGATGATGACATCAACTTTACAAATATAAGCATAAGAATCAAGTCCCAATTTCTTCTACTAAAAGGACTCTGCTCAGAGTAAAGGCTGCCTGCCTTACAGTTGTTTACCTTTACTCCAAACCACAACCGGCCGTGGGCCTCCTTTGACACCACAGGTAAAAGCTGTGTCTTCGTGCTCAGCAATGATCTTGTTCTGAGGTGGCACCTCTATCGTCGGGGCGGCACCTGCAAAAAGAGAAGAAAAAAAACATAAGATAGACAAGAAAATCTTAGTTTTAGTAAGAGTTTTAAGGCACTTGCAACACACATATGTTATTAAAGTGCCAAAAACTAGGTGTGTTGCTAGAGAATATTTTTACAAAAGAGAGATAGGACAATAGATGTTTGATAGGAAAGATGAAGCAAACCACACCAGAGCAAGCACCAACCACCCATCACAGAGATTTTCTGTCAACAACAAAAAATAGAAAAAATATAGTAAACAAAAGAAACTCACAAAGCAGAGTGACTCTACCACTAGAGGTGAAACAAGGTCATGTGTAATCACTTTTCAGTTTTAACTTTAACCTTGCCCCTGTATGTCTCCTAGCAACCTAGGGTGATAAAGTAGAACAAAGGGGTTGATCAAATAAGTTACTGAGAAGTCAAATAAACGTAAATGTAAGGTTAAGACTGACTTTTCACAGGAAAAAAAGAAGCCCCCATAATGAACAAAGATTTCAAAGGGATTTAGGGGGGAGAAAATGAAGCACACAAAAGAAGTAAAGGTTCTGGACACCATAAACACTTTGCCGCCTATGTGCAATCCATCATCGGCATCTACATTACTCGGAATATAGAGAGAAACACAGAGTGTTAAAGATAAAGCAATGTAAATCGACTCCTCAAAAACTGACTGTTGTAAAACTTCTCTTTCACTGTATTCCATCATAATTTTCCATTTTCTTTTTTTCTCTTCCCTCCTTCCGTTCTCTTTTGGGTTTTATCTATCATTTTTCTTTGTTTGAGAAGGCTATTACTCAAGAGGAGATATAACACAATAATTCTCCAACTATCAACCCCAAATACAACATAATAAACTTTGCCCACCAACTCGGACAATATTAATTTTGAAAAACTAATTTACAAACAAGAACCTCATGTGAGGAAAATGACAACTGGTGTAATAGTAAGGCTCTTTGACTTGCTAGTACGAGAAGTATTAAATGGGGAAAGATATGGACATATCCCAAACTGCTGGAGTCACCAACTGTGGCAGTGGTTTGCTTGTTGCTTAAGTAAAGAGAAACACACAGACACAAAAATTGTCATTGAATGCTTTCGAAAAAAGGAAGACAAACAGAAAAAAAAAGTAAAAGACAAAGAGAAAGACTTGCCAGAGGCGTGCACTTACTGTTGACAGTGAGACGTGTGTAGGCACTGGCTTCACCAGCGCTGTTCTTGGCGAAACACTGGTACACACCAGAGTCGGGGACATCCACGCTGGCAATCTCCAGTGTCCCATTAGGATAAATCTGGTACCTGATGAAAAGTCGAAAAGGAAAACAAGGATGCTGATCAAACTCTCTTTCTCTTCTTAACTCCACGCTGCACGAGGTAGAGACTTCACAAAAATACAAAACAGAAAGACGCATATGCAACTAAAACTTTTTCCTTGCCTTATGGATCTATTCATGATACACAGTAAAGTCACTGATGACAAACTCATTAATGAAACAGTATTTAATCACATGAAAAAGAGAGGTAAAGCAATATCAGAGGAAAATAATGAAGACCGTTGTTCATATGTTCCCAGGAACAATATATGAAGCGGCCAGAGAAAACCAGAAAATATTCAGGAGTAAAAATCAAGCCAAGGGCAAAAAATTATCAATTTTGGGTGCTAGTTTAAAAAAACTAATTAACAAATTGACAAAGTAAATCAATTTTGAATACATTTTCTTTCAAAATCTGAAAGGTTGTGGGTTTTTTTAAGACTTCATTTTGAATAATGCATAAGCATACCCTTTCACCATTTACACAGTACTATGCAATAAGTTCACTTATAACCTATCCATGAGTATTATATACTCTTTTCCAAAAGAAACTTGACACATTTTCTTTGAACATAATACTATTAAATCATAACGGATAATGATGATATTTATGTACAGTACAGTGTGTTGGTTTTACTGTCTTCTGAATCAATTTTGACAATACAACTAAGTGAGTTCGTTCACTTCTGTGTGTTTAGTATGATTTCATTTTTTCACTTTTTATTCTGTTAAGCATGAGTTTTCTGTGTTGTCTTTGCTATCAATTGGTAGCTTATTTCAAAACCTACAAAAGGTGAGTAATAAGTTTATGAAAACATTGTTTGCATTTGAACTGCGAGCTTCAGAAATCTAGAAAAAAATGTTGACTTTCAATCATGCCACGTCTCAGTGCAGAGGAGCGAGGGCGCGCTGTAGGGCATCTCGAAGCAGGTATTCCTGTGGCGGATGTGGCAAGGATTTTTACCTGTAGCCGGGAAACCATCTACAGTCTGCAGACCAGGTATATGAACACGGGAAGTACAAGAGACAGGCCAAGATCAGGGAGGCCGCGGGTAACCACCCCGGCACAGGATCTGCTCCACCCACCTGAAGGACAGATTCCAGTCTGCTTCGCATACAGCCAGAACCCTCCCGCAACACCAACCAGTGAGCACACAGACAGTTATTCGTCTCAAGTCCTTTTCACGGACGAGTCTAGATTTGTCCAAGGTCGCTACTATGGTCGAGTGCGGGTATATCACCGTCGAAGTGAAAGGTTTGCTGACCAGTGTGTACATGAAATCCCAAACCGGGGATATGGGCAGGTGATGGTCTGGGGTGGAATCACAACAGACCATAGGACGGCACTGGTACATGCTCCGACAGCATAGAAGGGCGCCAACTACGTAGCCACCATTTTGCAGCCACATGTGGCACTGTTTTTGGAGAACCATCCAGGCTACACCTTACAACAGGACAACGCTCGAGCCCATCGTGTCAGAGTGACACAAGCTTACCTCACACAACAACAATTCGGTTTCATCCATCCCTGACAGGCAGTATCACCCGACATGAACCCGATTGAACATGTGTCGGATATTCTTGGGCCTCAAATCCAAGAGGTGAATCCCGCTCCTCAGAACAACGCTCAGTTGATTCAAAGCCTAACCAACGCTTGGAACGCTACCCAACATTAAATTTCCAACATCGTCAACTCTATGAGGCGCAGATGCCGTGCCGTCATTGCTGCAGGCTGCTGTCACACACGATATTAATCCTGCCGAACTTTCAGACACCTGAAATGCTTTTGATTTGACCAGTACCAGTTACCAGTGTGCTTTGCTATCATACGTTTCGAAAACCATAATTTAGGATGACTATGTCAATGTAAAGTTTCTTGTTGGAAAAATGCACATTTTCTGATTTTTTAAATTTGGACCCTATCACTTCAGGTGGGGCTTGAAGCACCAGGTGTGTATTATGTGCATTAAAATACAGGTTTTCAAATTCAAAAATGCTTCTTCTTTTTAGATTTAAAATTTTGTCCCTGTGTCTGTAAAGGTTTATTTTTTATTTAACACTATTCTTTATGTCAAGTTTTTTTTTTTATGAGTATATATGATTGGAAAAGTCACTGACTGGAAAGGGGAAAGGCAAAGAGAAATGAAAGTAGTCATTGTTTCTCTCACTTGGCCTTTCCTGGGGTAGTTTTTACCCCAAGTTCTGAAAGCAATCATGAACATTTTTTAATAACTTTAATAATCTGGAAAAGCAACAGATCCACAGATTCAGAGAATACCCTGTGGGTAGTTGGCGGGTGCTCTGGTGTGGTTTGCTTCTTCTTTCCTATCAAACATTTATCGTCCTTATCTCCCCTTCTTCTTTTTTATGTTTGTTACTCTCTTGTAACACCTCTAAATCTAATCTTCTGGCACTCATATGACCTTATGCAGTCGCGAGTGCCGTAAAACCTCTACTAAAACTGAAAAAAGAGAATACAGTCAAACCTGTGTAAGACGGCCACCCATTGTCAAGGAGAAAAGTGGCCGTATAAGACAGGTGTCCGTCTTAGGCAAGACTGATCAAGATGAAGAAAACAAACCATTCCCATCTGTGGTTCCAATCGAAAGTAGCCGCATTTTCTTGTTGATGTTGTGGTTGTTGGTGGAGGTGGTGGTGGTTTGTATTTTGTTTGTAATTTTTATTTTGTTGCTGATTTTGCACAAAGGTGACAATAAAACTAAATGTATCAGACAAGGAAGACCGAGTGCCATGTTAAAACAAACACATGGGTCGCCACCAAACTTGACGTCCTTTGTGACCACTCATCTCACTTACGATTTGTGTATGAGGTCTGGGCGGGGTTTATGGGTTATGAGGGATCACACACTTACCTCACCAGCAGCTGAAAATTGGTAGCTATTGGTCAACAGTGGGAGGGGCCTACGCAACATGATCGGTTGGAGGGACTACCTAACAACAACGACAGGGGATTGAATTATGACGGCTCGCCCACAACGCCAGGGGCCAATGCACAATTTATGACAAAACGTAATGGAGTCACTAAGGTGGCCGTCTACGACAGGTGTTATTGCTTGGAGTGATAGGGGTTGTGTGTTAAAATATGGTGGCCGCGGACGCGTTGGACAGGTGCCCGTTTTACACAGTTAAATTATATAGAAAAAACGCAAGGCGGGAAATGGAAAGTGGCCGTTTGTACAGGTGGCCTTCTTATAGAGGTGGCCGTCAGGGCAGGTTTGACTGTACCCTTATTCCATCACATCTTTCCTTTTCCTACACCATAGCACATATTGAAATGCAGCGACAAGGTGAAAAATGAATACCAGGAACATGTCCCCAACTTACCCCAACTGTAACAATACTACTCACAGACTGCCACGGCAATATAAACGGTTCTTTCAAAGATTTATTTTTTCCCAGCCATTGAAAGATGTTCTTTAACCCTCATCCTGCAGGAGCCGGCTTTATGTCGCCCGATAAGCCTATTTCGGCACCTCGCCTACAGTCCCGAATCAGTGTAGCCCCTGGCTCAGCGCACATCCTCTTACGTGTTATTCGGGTCCCGAGTCGGATCCCCATTCACGCAGGTCAGGTGTGTGCGTCAGTCTGCTTGAGTTTGTGTGCGTTTGTGGCCTTCTTCTAGAACCGCCTGCATTGGTTCGTAATCGAGGCATACGTCTCATTCAAAACATGCCAAGTTGGTAGCTCCAGATGTGTCCAATGAAATTATAGAAGAAATTGACCCACTTAGACATGAGGAGCTCGAAAGGATAGTCAGGAAACAAGACTTCCATTTTTCTATACAAAATATTTCAAATGAGCTTGATTTTGTATGAAATGATACCACCTGATAAAAAATAAGCTTGTTTGATAGTTTTGAATAAGATTGTGCTGGTACAAAGAACAATTTGAGGGTAAAACATTCGGAAATTGACCTAAATTATCCCCTTTCGAACCTCAGGTCATTCATAACAAGCGCGTCCAGAAAGGTTATTCTAATGGGCGTAACTACTCGTAATGTCTTATCAGCTTGTGAGAGGGGGTTATTCATGTGTTTCTAACACTTTATAAATAGAAAGCTATGAAAGATAGAGCCTTATTTTCACCATCGGTTAACACACTCCCGTGGTATTCATGGCGAAAACACATTTCCCGGCGCGCGCGCGCTGTACACCAACAGTACACACTGAGTGACCCCGGCGGCCTGCCCGGCACGTCCGACGTAATCGGTTGCTGATAAGATTCGCATCTGGGCACAGACGCAGGATAAGAGTTAAAAGACAATAGCAGATTTAAGAATTTAGACTCAGCATACCAAGAAACAACAAAGAGAAATATTTAAGAAAAAACACACATACAGTGCCTACCTTGCAGCATTTCCATCAGCCAACTTCTTAGCATTAAAGTACCAATCAACTTGCAAGGGTTGACTACCAAAAGCCTCACAATCAAAGGCAAAGGCTTCCTGATAATCTCTGAGTACTTCCACGGGTGATGAAGACGTTATACTGGGAGGATCTGGAAACAGAGAGAAACATGTTCCAGCGTTGAATCACCCAAGATTTTTTTTTAAACACTATATGTCTCCCATATCTAAAATGGCAGTGAAAGGAGTGAGATTTGAAGAGGTTCACGGAAATTCAGAACAATTCGTTCAACAGTTCATCAAGAACTTATGGCTCACCCCCATGAAATAAAAGAGTTCGTCAAATTTTAGGGAACAAAGAAATCTGAATTTTTCCAACACTGGGCGATTATAATCAAATTTCTTCTCATTTTTTTAAACAGAAACCTTCTCCATCCATTCAAAAAATTTAAGATGAATTCTGCTGAAAAACGTTGTTTAAAGCAAAAAATATGTTATTTTGTAAAATGAGTAAAAATATTCAGCTTTAAAAATCACCCAACTTTGGCTGCCATTTTATAGCTAATTTCATTTGTAACAACACATAATCCCTGCCTTCTTAAATGACACATATTCCAGCTTCTAAGCAAAGATAGACAGACAATTATTTTCATCAAGTTCAAGAAAAATAAACAAGCTTTAATCTGATACAACAACTCCATATGCCCAAAAATTGACGAGCGTCCGATTCCACCAAATTGTGACACATTTAGTACAACAGTTATTCCAGACTACTCTGGAGAGCCCACAAATTACCTGCTTGTCAGTACATACTAATGTCTACCCTCAGAAAACACAGTGGTACAAATGTAACTATACACTTCAAGCAGTGTTAATTCTATCTCTTCAAACTTCCCGCAGCATTAACTCCATCTCTTCACACTTCAGGTAGTGTATGTTCCATCTCTTCACTTCAGGCAGTATTCATTCCATCTCTTCACATTCAAGACAGTGTTTATTCCATTTCTGCACATTTCCTGCAGTATTTGTTCAGTCACTGCGCACTTCAAAAAGTTTTTTTGTATTCAGACCCTTACTGTCCTTTTAATTTTTCAAAAAAATCAAATAATTCCAGCTTCTAACTGGTTCAGAGCACGTTTTCAATGTGCACATCTCAGCCGATACAAATAGAAAATGAATCGATGTCAAGGACAGTTGCTGCAACCGAGCAAAGTCTAAGTATATAAAAACTTTCTTTGTAAGAAAAATATTTTGAGGTTCAGCGGTTTGCTAGGTATGGCTTTTCGCCTGTCAACCCGGAGGTCCTGAATTCGATCTCCACAAGCATCAGGTAGTTATCTCATGTTTTCCACAACCTAGGATCTTAGGGTAAATAGGATCAAGAACCAAGTCTTCTCAAATAAGGAAAACAAATTTTAGTGGTCTCATGTGGAAGTTTCACATGTGACAGTTCTACAAATAAAAAAGTCTAGGCCCTTCATACCGCCGTCCAGGGGAATGAGTGACGTGTTTGTATCTATACTGACATTCCACGCCCAGACCGCTTGTGCCCCTTCCCCAAAGACATACATACACACAGTCACACCTGTGCTGGCCGCCCATCCAAACCCGACACATGCTAAGACACGTGCGCGTGCCAACAATGTGGGCCTAGGAAAGGGATGAAAGAAGGACGCTGATTGGTCGCATAAGATAAAAATCTAAACGATAGGCTAGAGTAAGTGAATAATGGTTCACAATGCAGGTGCCATGGATGGTTTCCAGGACTACATAAGGTTCTTTACGGGAAGAAAATGAGTAAGCCATGTAAACAGGGACTCTTCACCCAATAAGCAACTTCGTTGAATCCGAGCTCGCTCATTTACTTTTCTTTATTTTAATTAACAAAAAGAATGGGGAATCCGTCTCCTTTCGTTGAATCCGAGTTCCATTGTATATAAAAATCAATTGCACTGAGATGACCATCTTAAATTCACCCACTGAGTTTTAACAGGCAGCAGAATGTAGAAGAAGAGAAGAAGATGAAATAAAATAATTGTGAAAATCCTTTTCATAATGGAAGGCATGAGGAAGGCCAGAAAACGGCAGCAAAACACAAACCATTATAAGATGGTGATGGCACAAATTAGGCAATTTCATGTTCATACTAACAAGTCTAAACACTTTTTGCCTAAAAGACCTATCTGCAAGAGCTCCTTTTGGTTGAGAGCTAGAATTACACTATCAAACACTGAGACATGTATTTAGTGTGTAAAAGGGTAAAAGTAGTAATTCACTGAGCAATTTACAGTACCTTTCAGAATTACTTTTCTTTAAAATGGAAAAAAAATACTTACGAAAAACAAAAAATACTCCACTTGATGAGAGAAGGAAGAAAGGCAAAGGCAATAGATGTTTGATAGGAAAGAAGGAGCACATGACATCAGAGCACCCGTCAACCACCACAAACCTTATGCAACATAACAAAAAGAAACATGCAGACAAACATTGAAGCTCTGTTAATCTGCCTACCTGTGACAGTGACGATGGCTTGGGCAGTCACGGGACTGAACGTACTCTGACCCTTGAGCCTGCCTTCACACAGGTACAGGCCAGAGTCTGTCGCATTCACTGATGTAATTTCCAGCCTCCGACCCAGTGTCGTAATGCTGATCCTTCTATCATTTGTAACAGCATATCGGGAACCATTAGTCTCTTTGTACCAATCTATCTGAAGGTTGTTCGTAGGCCTTTGGAGTTAAAACACAATAAATTGTTTCTGAGAACCGGAATCTGGTTACCATTCATAAAGATCGAATTCCACCAAAAGAAGGGAACACTCATTCTAAAATACAGCATTCAATGAAGGTAGGATAAAACATAAATTAAGTCACCACCAATCAAAATATGGTATGGAAAGAAAGTTGAACCTCTTGAGTGGTCTTTTCACATTCTGTATCTATTCTCTAGAAACTAAAATAATAATTAAAAGGTTGATATGACATAAAATGAAAAAGACACATGCATCCCATGTGCATCAGGGCAGGGGTCTGAAAGTGAAACTGCTCAATAATTCTGAAACGATATACAACTTGGAGTAGACAAAACAATATCTTTAGTAAATAAACGAATCCAAAAATTATCTAAAGATAGGTGTCCACCTTTCAGTTCATTTTCTTAATCCCTTTCAGCACCTCACAGCCGTACGTTACCATCCTGTCTAAGACCTGATGAGGCTACAAAACATTTAACTCATTTCCCTTTTATTTTGGTAAGTGTGTTACAGCGTTCGCAACTGCATAAGGTCATATGAACGCACGAGACACACCAAACATTTTCAAAGGGTAGCAAATTTTGAATTTCGCTCGTGAGGCGGCCGAAGGCTACTCTTATCGATTTTAGACCACCAAGAGATCTTTAACGTGTGCAACTTGCAAACAGGATCTCCAAGATTTTTCGCCCTTGTCCGAGAAGGCTTGGTGCAGATCTTATCTACCATAAGATCAGGGGTGTGGCTGAAAGACAGCAGAAAGAAAGGGCCAAGGAGAAGCAGTAGAAAGGCTTCAGAAAGAGTCAGGAGCTCAAAGGAGGGGAGCAAAGGAGGTGAGGGGATGGGGGCAAAAAGTGTAGACGACAGAATATTGTCAGAGAGCAGGATAGGATGTGAAAGGAGAACATTTTTTAGAAGAAAAATTTCCTATCACTCTCTGGATTCAAACCAGGGACCTATTGAAAGAGAGGCGAACACCTTACCAAGAGCCCCCTACTTATGCCTTGCATGTCATTCTTGCAAGCCATGGCTACATGCCACATCACAGAGTTTTTTTGTTCCACACTAGACGCCATGTACAGGGGAAAAAGTGGGCTCTCATGGTCTAGGGGTTAAGGTGTTCGCCTCTCATTCAATAGGTCCCAGGTTCGAATCTGGATAGCGACAGAAAATGTTCTTTCACATTCTTTCCTGCTCTCTAACAATGTTCTGTCATCTGCTTTCGTCTCCACTTTCTGCCCCCTTCCCCCCTCACCTCCTTTGCACCCTCCTCTAAGCTCCTGACTCTTTCTGCAGCCTTTTTCAGTGCTTCCACCAGCTGAAGCTGAAAAGTAAGGAAAATTCTGCCTGGGGCCTGAGGGCCTCCCCCAGCAGAGTCCGGGGATAGTGTCCCATTGGGGGTCGAAGAAATTGAAATTTAGTGCTTTTAGAGGGTTGAAAATGGCATTTGGGAGCCTGTTTGAAGAAACTGCCTGCAAACCATAACATTTATTTTTTCACCAACAGTTTATCTTGTTTGATTTCTTCACCAAGTTCTACATAATATATTTCCATTGATGGCAATATTTAAAAGCAGGTTCCCCTTCCATTGCTACTATAATTCAATTAATTTGTCATTGCACCATTGATAGAAGGCAAAACTGGGAATAATGAATAGATATATACCTTCACAATACAGTTACCTGGCGTATACCCTAATTTTCCTTAAATTTCACGCCTGAATGTCGAATGTCACAACCTCGGAACACCACTTCGAATTATTCTTGACTTTAGTAGCTTTAGGCTGGTTTTAGAATAAATTTCTTTCATTGCGGCCCTTATCGCGTTCCCGTGCCGTAGAATCTCCGTATTGATCATTTCTCTAGATCTAGGCACATTTGTTAAAAAGTTTCTTTCTGACAGTAATTTTCTGTCTAAGATCCCATGTCAATTTACTTGATCAACTGATAGAATGGAGGAAACTGGCACAAAAAGTTCGCCAGAATTGGACAAATCCACAGGTAAAAATGTACTGCCGACAAGCCCGCAATGAATGCACTGGGCATAGCGGAATAACGGCCAATTGCAGGAAATGCGCAATCTGGCAGGTTTCTATAACATAACATTTATTTATTGCCGAGAGAATTACCTTAAATATCCGCAACTAATACTAATACTAGACGATACGAATCTTTTGCTACGGAATTTCGGTAGTCCTAAGCTGTCGCAGCTTTTTACGGAGGGAGTTGATAATGATGGAGGAACAAGTACGGTGGAAGCACTGCTTTTTACTGCTACTCCTTGGCTCCTTCTTACTGCTGTCTTTTAGCCACACCCCTGATCTTAAGGTAGGTAAGATCTACACCTAGCCTTCTTGGACAAGGGTGAAAAGGAAAATCTCAAAGGTCCTGTGTGCAAGTTGAGCACGTTAAAGACCCTTTGGCGGTCCCAAATTGATAAGAGTAGGCTTCGGCCGCCACCCACACAAAATTCAAAATTTCCTACTGACTGAAAATGTTTAATGTGTCCCATGCATTCATATGACCTTATGCAGCTGCAAGCGCTGTAAAACACTATTACGAGAAAAAAAAATATACAGGGGAAAAATACTCTTGTGAACAACCATCAACCAAATTTTTGTCATTAATTTAAAAGATGCTCCTTTGTCAATAGTCCCTACAAAAATTTCTCCAGGTCATTTTCTCAGCAGCCCACATCATTTCAATCTTACTCAATTTAAAACTGGGAGGCGCAGGCTTCACACACACACACACACACACACACACATACACAAACAAAATTTGTAAAGAGTTATCTTTTTCTAAGGACTGCTCATTTCATTACTCTGGCCCACAGTAACAGTGAAAGAATAGATACTGACGTTAATTAAAGATATATCATAATGTACTGAATGTACACATGATTTCCTCAGCTTGCTACAGTTTTTCATAATACAGCAAAATCCTGCGTACACATGCGTCAAACTAGACCACATGTATTTTGTTGGCAACGAGTTAATTTAAACAGTATTTTAACAGAATTCGCTTGATTTTTTTCTATTCAATAAATGTAATGACACAAAAATGTACAGGTCAAGTTTATCTATTGTTTCAGTGGAAATTAACTCACTTGGCATTGATGACACACTCCAATCTAACTGTCTCCCCAGCAACAGCAGTTGTGTCTTTAGGACTCACAACAAATTCAGGGGCAATAAATGTTGCTCCGTTCCCAGAAGCTGGAAATCACAAAACACACAATTTGTTTTAATATGCATCCCTATGCTAGCTAATGGTTATGAATTTAATTCAATGAGGACCCCCCCCCCCCCCCCCTCAAAAAAAAAGGAAAAAATAAAACATTTAATATTAGAGGGTGAAAGCCTCATTTTTCTACCATTTAGGAAGAGGAGGATAAGAGGACAGAGGAAAGAGAGAAGGAGGTGAACTGTTGTACCATATGAACAGATTTGTCTTCATTCTGTTAAACAACCATCAAAGCGTCTACACATTGTTACAGATGAGAAAAAGAAAAAAACAAATATCATTTTCACTTCTACTGAAGAAAAGTAAATAATTTTATGCTAATTCTGTTGTAATGATCAGGCTTAATGAAGTGATAATCGCTGTTGCCATGTAATAGAAAAGGTCTGGAATCTGGAGCATACATTTCTTGGAACTGATCTGTCTAACTATTGCCCTCTTGAATAGAGTTCAGAACTTAACACATCCCATTACCTGTGACTTTCAAAATGAAGGCTGGGCTAGTCATTTCCTTTATGGTGGCAAATGTGGCATGGTTGGCTGTTGCCGTGAATCTGCTGCCATTGAAGTTGGTCGGGACATCCAGCACTGCTAGGTCATAATCCAAGGTCTGGTAGAAAGTGAAACTGCCCTGAGTGACAGTCACATCATCGCGATCCCAGGCAACACTAAAAAATGTTCCTGGCAAATGAGATATTTTCTGCAAACGAAGAACTGTGAACTTCTTTTCTTCCACAATGACTGTCTGGCTTGATGTTTGTTCAAACTCACCCAGTTCTGAAGGAAAAAAATGTTAAAGGAGTCAAACAAGACACTATACACTTCAAAACCATGGAAACAACAAAATAAAATTTTGTCAGATAAACAAAAATCTGGGCCCTGTGTAACTAAAGAACAAAAACTTATGGCCTATATGCCACACTACCATCACAGAAAGAATCTTGAGCCAATATACTATAACAAGGCATAGAAACCAAAGCAACTCAAGCAGGAAGATTTTTTTTTTTTAAAATAATAGAAGGTTTTACGGCGATCGCAACTGCATAAGGTCATATGAGCACCAAGGGGTGGGTGTCAACAGAGAAGTCTTTACAGGGAATCAGACTTAGACTGCTCACCTCTCTAGCTTCAACAGCACAAGGTCTGCTTCGACTATCAAGGCACCCCAAAATAGCAGGTCACAAGAGAGTGACAAACATATAAAAGTAGAGGAAAATGACAATAGTAAGGATCAGGAAAGAAAAAGCAGCAGTTCCCTGTTGTAGACCAGGCATAGTTATATGAGCGTGACATGAGTCAGCCCATTTATAATTCTACTATGCTTGAACGAGAAATGTCCCCCCTTTGGGAATGGCCTAAAGACACTTCAGTCAGTGGCACTGCCCCAGGGGGTGCAGGAAGAATGGCAAGAGACAAGAGTGTTTCGTTGCAGAAAGTCCTGACAAGCAAAGTCAATCTACTAGAAAAGATAAGAAGAAGAAGACAAATCACACACCACTGCTGGTCGCCACCGTACAACACCCTGTTTTTGAGCTAGGGTAATCTAATTCAGGGACCATCCACCTTATTAAAGAATTGTGTTACAGACACATTATTTTCATTATTGTGAGCCTGAGCTCACAAACAAACTTAGGTGCTGGTAATATTGTAGTCAAGTGCAACACATTGTATTACATTTTAAAAGAAACCACACACTCTTCAGAAGCACATCGATACAAGTGCAGAGAAAAAAAATAAGACAGACAGTAACACAATAAGGGAAGACAGTAAGAAGAACCTACCAGTATTCCCCCCTACCAACCACAAGGTAGATTAAGATAAGGGACAATGAAGCAGGAAGTGAGGAGAGATGAGGAGAGGTGAAGAGAGATGAGCTGAGGCAGTGAGGAGAGGCGAGGTAGTGAGGAGAGCTGAAGAAAGGAGAGCTGAAGAGAGGAGAGGTGAAGTAGTGAAGAAAGGAGAGATCAGACCAGCTGAGATGAGGGCAGGAGATTTGGGACAAATTGAAGTGACATGAAATGAGGTGAAAGGAAGAGAAAGTAAAGTAGAAGTGGAAAGAAATAGGGCATGGTCTGGTGGGGACCCCAACCTCAAAAGCATGGTGTAAAAAAGGATCAAAATAAAATGAAGAAAACAAATATAAACTTAAATCAATACTGAGACAAAAGCTACATATACCTCTCACTTCCACGGAAAAGGGCAAGCTTCTCACAGATCCCAGAGCATTTGACACTGTGCACCTGTACACACCGGAGTCTGACACATTAGCTTTATTCACTGTGTACCCGCCACGGCCGGATGATGTGAAAACCACTGTTCCATCTTTCTCCCAAGTGTAGTTCAACGGCTGGCTTCCAGTGGCCGTGATAGTCAGGACAAACGGAAGTTTCTCCTCTTGAAATTTCCCAATGAGAAGTCTCAAGAATGAAATCTCAGATGATATTTCAGGTGCTTTTTGTTGGGAAGAGAAAAAAAGGAAAATAAGTGCACAAAGATCTAAAAGCCCCTCACATAATCGAACTTTCTAAGATGTCATTATGATAATGAGGCTCAGAAGCCAAGAACTTAGGTGTGTATCTCTCAAATCAAACTACAATCAAAATTGTCTAAGACGGCCACCCACTGTCAAGGAGAAAAGTGGCCATCTTAGGTCACGTGGACATTTTACAGTGTTGTTACACGCTTTAAAAAAACAAGAAGGGGTAAATAGAAAGCGGTCATTTACAACAGGTGAATGTCCTATACAGGTGGCCATTAGAGCAGGTTTGACTGTACCCAGTTGAATTCCTTATTCCTCCATCCAGTGTGGGATGGGATTACAAGGGTTTCTTACTACCTCTTTTTCACATCAAAGAGAACGAGGAGAAGAATGAGGAGGAGGAGGAGGAGGAGGAGAAAAAGAAAAAGAAAAAGAACCATGAATACTTCCTAGTTCAAATGCATAAAAAAGACCTCTTTTATTATACCTCACAATTTACAGTAGTCAAAAAATTTCCACAATAATGATTTTCTTCCAGCAACTAAGAAAACGTACCATGACATGAGGAAAATAATGCCATAAATCCGACAACAAATTTAATAAAAACTTCTATCATTTTCACGGAGAACATTTTGATAATTAAAAGAGGGCTCATTAAAAACAATGGGATCTCTAACATTGAGAAACAAAACTAACACACCCCAAACAGAATCGATGGCAACACCTACAATGATGATGATTAACTATTTAACCATGTCTGGACCATGGCAGCGTCCGGTAGTTGAGGTCCGTAACCATGGCTGGACAGTACCACCGTCCGATGCGAAGTTATTATTGTATTATGGTACAGGTCGAATATTTTAAAAATACGATAAGCCTTTTGTTTGACCCGGAAGTAAAAGATAAATGAATTATACGTCTGGGTAACATTTTATTGATCAGTTTGATGCGAAACAAGCATTTTTAAAAACGTGATATGTCGGGTCGCATTTCTACAAACCCGAGAGAATTACACGGAAACGTGATTCTAAATTGCATGGTTAAAGAGTTAAAAAAGAAACTCCACATATTGTTATAATCATGATGGACTGTGATCACTATGTGGTGGATGGCCCTGATTCCAAGCCACTGTGGGTCGATCTTGAACTCGGGCTACTTTGAGAGTTTTCAAGGCTCTCCCCACATTCGGCTCAGCCCTTTCAGGGACAAAAAATAAATTCGGAAGTCCTGCCTCCAAAATGACCTTCTAGTGTAAGAAAAAGGAGTTGAACCCTACCAAAAGAAATAAAAATGAAACTATCAGAACAGTCACCAGAATGTGTGAGTCATAAAAACGAACATACAGGAGATTTATCGCACTGAAATGCATTAACCTAATGTGAGTCCGTCAAAAAGGCCCATATGTTGGCAGTTCTTTTTCAAACTCAATTAAAGGTAGCAACATACTGGATTTTCAACTCTGAATCTCCTTTTTTATTATTTTTCAGACATTTTGAACGCTTTTAGGGAAGTTACATATTTTGTAAGACAGGGCACAATACTCAGTTTTTAGAGAAAAACAGCCTTAAAGTAAAATGGCTTTATTTTTCTTCAAAAAAGCATAAAAACATCCGTCTTCCTTAATAACCTAACTGCACCTGTATTATTTGAAATTTAATATTCTAAACATCAGTAAAAACAAAATTCAATAATGTACAGCAGAGCATTAAAGTTGTGTAGAACTGCATTACAAACACAAAAGTGATACACATACCTTGGCTTAATAAGGGCAGCCACTTTGTCATAAAAAGGGCTAGAAACAGGAAAATCTGAACACATGTCCACATCCTCCAAGGCTTGCATGCTGCCATATCTGTTCTCATTACATCATTTATTATTAACCATAACCGCTGTGCTTTACATCATGGGACCACTTTACTCACATCTGAAAAAAAAAGACAAAACAAAATAAATAGAAAATTCCCAGATTGTATTGCACAAGTGATATATCTGATCTTGGGAAGAACGCAATGCACAATTGCTGAATTTCAAGCAAATAGTGGAAAGGTACTCAGTCACAACTCTGAATTTAAAAATTGACAATAGACAGTAGACATTCTCATACAACAAGAGGTGTGATGATACAGTTTGTTCTTCAAAAAAACATTTCTAATGATGGGAGTCAACCAAAGTTCACAACAGCAACAAAAATTACCTTTTAAAGTTAGGAGACCTCAACTTCTGATGTTAAGATATTTTTTAGTAGAGGGTTTTACGGTACTCGCAACTGCATTAGGTCATATGAGCGCCAAGGGGTGGGAGTCAATAGAGACGTCTTTACAAGGAATCAGACTTACTCTGCGCACCTCTTCAGCTTCAACAGCACAAGGTCTGCTTCGACTATCAAGGCACCCCGGAAATAGCAATTCACAAGAGAGTGACAAACATACAAAGAAGTAGAGGAAAAATGACGATAGTAAGGATTTGGAAAGAAAAAGCAGCAGTTCCCTGTTGTACACAATTCTACTGTGCTTGAACGAGAAAATGTCCCCCCTTTGGGAGTGGCCTAAAAAGACACTTCAGTCAGTGGCACCGCCCCGGGGGTTAACCTTCTGAGGAAGTCATCATAAGACTAAGGTGTGTTGAAACTGTACACATTTCATTTTGTCGATCATAATAATTTAAAGACTTTTGTAGGTGTTCATAGGTTGATTGGGAATAGGATTACACCAATCGTTGCCTCAGCCGAACTATTTTGTCCAAAGTTCACTTTATAGTTAAGTGCTCTTTGCACAAAATGGTTCTGAGGCGATGCAACTAAGTCAAGGTTCATTATGATTGCTCTCTGCTAATCATCATCATCATTGTCAGCTGAAAACTTAAAAGTGCCAGTTGGAACATACAGTTTCAACAAAGTTGACAAATATGATGATGTATTATAATTCAAGCACTTATGATACAGAGTGGCCAGCTTGTAATAATTCTTTTCTCAACAGTAAGCTGTGCAGTCTCCGTAAAAGAGGTGTAGCAGAGTCTTGCGTACTCTTTTCTGTAAAACTAAACACACAGCATTATTTTGAACAGTTTGAAGTCTTTTCACTTTCTCCGGAGATATCACAAAGAGTTACATTAACCAAGTCTTGATAAAACTAAGCTCTGCATTAACCTGACCAGATAATTTACCTCAGCCAATACTGATAAACTTTAATCAAAATAGATGCCAAGATTTTTTTCCTTGAAAATACAATTTCCACATCACCACTTTTCATGTGATTGTTGTCAACCTCATTAACTAACAGACTTTAGCACTGTCTGCTAGAATGACCTGTTATATATCATCATTCAACATAATGTTTTAGTTCCACCAGTTTTTCACTGAACAATACAGTTTTCAACACGATGAACAATGTTCATGTGTATGCAAGTTGGTATAAAATAGACATTGTTGAACTATAAAAGTGGGTATCTTCAGCATAGAAATGATAGTTTAAAGTCAAGTACAAGCAAGGTACGTTATACTCCTTAAAGTTTGAAATCCTTATAACATAATCTGAGCTGAATTAAAAATTTTATAGAATATAGAAATCCTGACACAAAGGATGAAACTCACAATTTGGTAAAAATGAACTACTAAGACCAGCAACAAGGATAATTTTTTTCCTTTTTATAAATAGCCAATTAATATTAAAATATTAAATCTGAAAACCAGCCTATTAAATTACCCTAGCACACTGATAAATGTATACTTGATTTAGACAGGGCCAGTCAGATTTTCCTTTTGGTGGGGCAAAAGCTAACATTTTGGTACAATTTCACCAAATCCAACTAAATTTGATGGTGACCTAAAAAAATCAAACATTTGTTTTTCAAGGTCACGAGTTGGGCATCAAATTCGCCAGGGATGTGAGAACCACCAAGTGCAATCACAAGGCTTGAAGTCTATGCGGGTAAAAAGGTCAGGGTCAGACATCTTTTTGTTTCTGCATGGTATATAATTTAATTGTAATGGACCGCATTGATTTGAAAAGGCTAATAGAAAGCTATCAAAAAGTCCCATGTCTGTGGGATTAAAAAATCTATCAAAACAGTAACCGCAGCGCGGCAGCTGACACTTGAAGCTCTTCAGGCCCACAGAAATGCATACACGAGGGAATCAAAATAAACGGTCAGCAAGGATCTCAACACATCGGTAACAAAAATGTGTTCAACACATCCAAAATTTGGGTAAAAATAAGAGAGAGACATTTCTCAATTTCAGACAGAAGTCAAAGGAAGTAACTGATGGTATAACTGTTAGAACATAAACCGTATCATTTATTGATAGGAAAGGATAGATGGATGGATAGTGTGTGCACCTTGTTTGGTGCTGAAGCAAAAGAAAGGAAGAGAGATGTAATGCTGATGAGATTTAAGACTTTAAAATTCCATGACAACGAGCGTAGCCAACAGGCAACACTGGTCAGCAAACTAACCAACCCTTTAATGAAATCACTTCCCAATCCATACATTCATGTTACAACCACAAAACAATTCACACACCATAAAACCCACTGCACAGCAATGCAACTGTCTGTGTTTGATCACACCCCAGCAATACACTGTCTGTCATTGATCATACCAGGCAGCAATTATAATATCATATAACACTGTCTGTCTTTAAAAACACCCCCACGGTACCACCCAACCTAAACATTCAATTCCAAGTTCTAGATCTAGTACCTTGCATACACTAGGTAATGTGCGATCTGTGATGCATGCATCTCATTACCAGTAGCAGTATTCAGCATGTGTATCAAACGAGGCAGGGGCAAGCCTGATGGGTATAACATGGGTCTCAACTCAGAATTCTAAAAAAGGAGGAACTTTTCGGGTGATCGCCACAGAAGCCCATTTTTGCAAAACACCCATTATTATTATACTGTTGAACCCTACAATGCAGAAATAAAAACCAACTTATCAAAGCAAGGTTATTTCACACCAATTTGAGAGATAATTTCAAGTCACGTACCAAATATTTACAATCTTGATCACGTACAAAAAGTGGTGGCGCCTGGGGTCTTGTTCGACTTATTTATATTTTCCCTTCATCATATTCACATATAAACTATATAAAAAGGAATATTGTTTTGAGCCTAGAACCAGAATATCGACTGTCATGATTCATATCATATATATATATATGCCAATATAATAAACGTGAAAGACAAAAATTAATGCTCAAACTCAAAGTCAAAGTAGAGTAGAATAGCCCAAGTAGACCTATTCAGTGTGAGAGGTGTAAGAACTGTGGGAGAGCAAGAAGCAGTGATACTGAAAATCTGCGAATCTTGAACAGAAAGCTAAAATATAGAGATCTAATTTACTGTCACCAATCCAATGAAACGTGAACACTTAGGCCCGTAAATTCCATAACACGCTTACAAGTTATGACGGTTCCTGATTTCACACAAGGCCAGCACCAACGCACACTTTACTTTGCAGAGAGCTGTAGATCAGGTAGTAATCAAAATTCTAAACGTTAAACATTTGCTTTCAGTTTATAGTTTGTTTGTCCTCTGGTGTTGCGTCCAGCCATCCCCCTATCCCCGAGTGCGTCTTTAAAAAAAATCAATAATCTCCCCCCATTCCTGAGTCCTGTACTTCGAAGCGCTCAGAACGCGCGCAGGTTCAATGACCGGTCACAATGGCGAGCCCAACAAGACGCTTGCATTTATCAACTTTCTTTTTGGTCTTACCCCCACAAGTGACAGCATAGTGACAAATATTTATTTATTTTCATGGCAACACCACGTTTGCAATGCCGAAGCTGCATGTTACAATAAATGTTGCGTTATCAGACAATTACTGACAAACTTCTGGGTGGTAACGAAAGCGAAAGTAGATCTTGATTTTCCAGTCGAGCCTTGGTAACACAATTCCGCTTGCCGCCAAAACCGCCAGTTCGGGTGAAACGTACTCTCAGAGCCAAATTAATATCACAATCGCGACCGGCAGAAATGAACTTAAAGACGTTATGGATTTGGTTTTTCAAATATTCTAGATCTTTTATGTATTTTCCCGGGTCTCGTGGATTTTTTTTTTTTAATTCCTGGAGCCAGGCAGTCACCCTGCTACAAACAACTCTCTTTCTGATTGGCCCGCTGTCACGGTAGCGGAGTTTAGCGGAGGAAATGGCGGTAGCAGAAATCCGCTAAATAGCGGACTATTGAGACCCATGGTATAAATAACCCGATATACCCTCAATGACAATGATGATGGGTTTCTTTGGTTTCCATCAAACACGCCAGGAAATTTGAATCCAAGACAATATGAATTGAATATGAAGAAAAATTTCGTACTTTTCTCTAGATGAATTGTTTGACAAATAAATATAGGCTGTCATTATTTTCACTCGGGGTGAAAATAAAAATATAATATAATTCTCACCCGGGGTGAGAATTAATAATAGGGAGTGTATACAGACCCGGTAACCGGGAACAAAGTCACAAAGTATACAGACCCGGTAGGGGAACTCTTTTGTGATTTCGGAAAGTTTCAGTTCAGTGCCCTCTTGGCTCAGGGTAGACCTAGGTTACTATATAGGTTCTTCTAGATCTAAATGAAGATTGCAGATGTCTTTTCGATGAACAATCGTTTTTCCTCTGTTTTTGGAGTTGGAGGAATCACAATTTGAAGAAAAGAACAATGCATAATTTCAATCGAGCAGTGACCCTCTCTATTTCTCTGCTTCTCTCTCTCTCCTCTGTGTATCACTCGCCTTCTCTTTTTCTTTGTTTGTCTCTGTCTTTCTCTCTTCCCACCTATTTCCCACTCTATCTTTCTCTCGTTCCCTCCTGCCAACCGGGGCATGTCGTATACATTTTGCTAGTACCTCTCTCTCTCTCTCTCTCTCTTTCTCTCTCTCTCTCTCTCTCTCTCCCTCTCTCTCTCTCTCTCTCACACACACACACACACACACACACACAAACACACTACTACCGGGTCTGGGCGCTGAAACTTTCCGAAATCACAAAAGAGTTCCCCTACCGGGTCTGTATACTTCGTGACTTTGTTCCCGGTTACCGGGTCTGTATACACTTCGTTAATAATATCCATTTCATTTTCACCCGTGGTGAGATTAAATAATATAAGATTCTATATATATATTGTTATTCTCACCCCGGGTGAGAACAAAATTAATATTATCCTCATCCGGTCTGAGAATGCAATGTTGGATTTTTATTCTTTTCTGGGTGTTGAGAACGGGTAGGCCTACATGTAGGCTAATAGGATGATAGAGAAAATAATTTGTGTATTGTAAGAGTGACCATTCATGACCTGCCCAAGAGCGCTGGCCGATTTTTCTTGGCTCTCGCTGGGTTTGTTATTGTTTAATTTTTTTTTTTTTATTCTTGAGAGTATGCACGCATCTTCACCAAAACCCTAGACTAGGCTAGACAAGTATAAATTCTGAATTAAGAAAGGAATTAACCCTCATCCTGCGGGAGCCGGGTTTATGTAGCCCGATAAGCCTATTTCGGCACCTCGCCTGCGTTCTGGTCCCGAGTCAGTGTAGCCCCTGGCTCAGCGCACGCTCAGCGCACGCTCAGCGCATGCGCAGCGCGCATCATCTTACGTGTCATTCGGGTCCCGAGTCGGATCCCCATTCACGGAGGTCAAGTGTGTGTGCGTCAGTCTGCTTGAGTTTGTGTGCGTTTGTGGCCTTCTTCTAGAACCACCTGCGTTGGTTCGTAATCGAGGCATACGTCTCATTCAAAACATGCCAAGTTGATAGCTCTAGATGTTCGTCCAATGAAATTATAGAAGAAATTGACCCACTTAGACATGAGGAGCTCGAAAGGATAGTCAGGAAACAAGACTTCCATTTTTCTATACAAAATATTTCAAATGAGCTTGATTTTGTATGAAATGATACTACCTGATAAAAAATGAGCTTGTTTAATAGTTTTGAATACCCTTGTGCAGGTACAAAGAACAATTTGAGTGTAAAACATTCTGAAATTGACCTAAATTATCCCTTTTCGAACCTCAGGTCATTCATAACAACAAGGGCGTCCAGAAAGGTTATCGTAACTACTCGCAATGTCTTATCAGCTTGTGAGAGGGGGTTATTCATGTGTTTGTAACACTTTATAAATAGAATGCTATGAAGGATAGAGCGTTATTTTCATCATCAGTTAACACACTCCCGCGGTATTCATGGCGAAAACACACGTTTCCCGGCACGCGCGCTGTACACCAACAGTACACACTGAGTGACCCCGGCGGCCAGCCCAGCGAGTCCGACGTAATCGGTTGCTGATAAGATACGCATCTGGGCACAGACGCAGGATAAGAGTTAACTTGCCAGAGTAGTATGTTTAAAAAAATAATAGCCTTAACTGAAAGCTGTTTAATAAAATGAAATAATGTTAGTAATAGTTTGTCATTTGTTTACGGCACACATGAACAACACAATAAAATATTTATCCCTAACAGAACCCACGATTATTTTAGCCTTGACCCAAGGCTTATTCTTTTCTTCATTTTGATTGGTTAAACCATTCAAGAGTAAAATTTTCCAAATTACAGAACCATAGCAACAAAAGGTGACGCTATTATAGCTCAAAAGATAAGGTTTTCCCCCAAATCGACAATAGACCAGTCGCCTCCCGCATTCGAGAGCTAAATCTAGCCCGCCCGTTGGCGCTTTTAGACGCCTCGCGCGCTCAGAGGAGTGAGAGAGGGAGGCGAGTTTTGTCGCCTGGAGCGCTCAGTGAGTGACAGCAGGGGTCCTATGATGCTCGAAACGAAATAAAAAGGGTGGAAACTATAAAAAATCAGGAGACCTAGTCTAGTAGGCTGTCGTTATTCTCACCCGGGGTGAGCATAGTATCAATTTTATTCTGTGAGAATAATATCCAGTTTATACTCACCCCTGGTGAGAATAATACTCCGATATAAATAGATCTAGTCTAGATCTCTAGAGCTGAAGGCGAAGGTTCTTGTCCAAGCCCAGCGAAGAAAAGAATTTCATACAATACTGTATACAGTGAACAAATGTCCTGCAAAGTCGCATATGAGGAGGGACGGAGAGGGAGGGAGGGAGGGAGGGAGAGAGAGAAAGAGAGAGAGAGAGAGGGGGGGGTTCTAGATCTAGTACTTTTGTCTTGTGGCCTTCACTAATAATGGATCTACAATCTACTAATATTCTGCAAGAGGAGCAAACGATACAAATCATACTCAGAACACAATTAAAAATTATCATGTCAAAGGGTCGTCGTAGCACTTGCCGATGAACAACACAAAGGAGCCAAATGAAACAAATGACCATTCCAAGCGGCGACTAACTGATGTAGGAAGTGGATATGGTCGCCATTTTGGAAGCAAACACAGACACAGGTAAATCCGATACACAGAAAATTGAGACGTTCGCTATCGTCGCTATCGATTTGTTGTACAAGTCCAAAAGTTGTCCACTTCTGGTATTGATGGTCACGAAAGACCACATATAAGGAAACAATTTTAACTGACTTTTACGTACAGTTGTGCAGCATACCCTTTGGAGATTCTCTGTTCAAACTCGATAGCCTCCGAGTTTATTTTGAAAACAAGATAACGGTGTCGTTTCGGGTGCACGACGCTTGTATTCCGAGTCGAGTGGTTGACACAGGTGAGGAAGTAACTCGGCAAAACTCGGCTGTGCACGCCGCGACACTGCAGGTCACGTGATGGACTATCATTAATTTCATTGGTGACCGGTGAAATTAATGTCACATACGAGGAGACACCTTTGTTGTATTGAGGGCAGCGTGGGAAAATACCTTCCGAGTGACGTGTTTTCGGGGAAAGCCTCTTCCATCAGAAGGAGAGTTTATGTCAAGACATGTGTATTCCCCAGTGCATGTACAAGTTTTACTTTTTGATCTCTCACAGACAATTTTACTATGTATAATCAACTCAATCAACCTTTTGTTACTTTTGTTATATTATTATTACTGAACACACACACCCTTTCTGTGAGTCACCTGATCCCTCCCACATAGCATTATGATGATGTAATTTCGATTCATAATGACTCTAAATGTCGAAATACACACCGTTTGCGGTATTTTAGGAGGCGGGCTTCTTCAACCTTTCTTTTTACAGAGGCCTATATGTTGGATCTTTTGTGCCTATTTTATAAAGAGCTCCCTCATATTCGACAGAAAGATGGGGATATTCGATTTTATTTTTATTTTTATTTTTTTTGGGGGGGTAAAGGTCAAATGTGTTCCTCGTGCGGGAATCGAACTCACGTTCTTTGAGAGCAAGGCAATAATTGCGGAACGAGTCTGTAAAAGATGTATCTTAGGTGACACGTAACTATAAATCAGTCCATTACCTTTTCTTTATCGTATCACTTGTCCGAAGCCACATTGCAAGATCACGTGGACTATCAAAGACTGCCGTGCATGACAGAGCACAAGGAGGAGAAGCAGAGGAAGGCAGACCAATGCATCCACATATAAGAATAGTTCTCAAGTGAAATAGAAGAATTAAAGGTTAAGTTGACTATTGCGGCTCTATTTGTCTGTACCCGATGAGACCAATGCTGGCAGAGAAAAGTTTGTCACATTTTGAGCATTCAAAAGCTCCACTTAGATTCTACACATTGTGGATGTGCGCAGCTTGCAGGCTTCTCTTTTTGTTTCAAATCAGCATTACTTATTCGCAAAACCTTAGACTTGCTGCCCACTGTGACTGCTGCTCTCCAACTGGATCTGTCGAGGCTCTCCCACGTCGACAGATTTATGTTGAAGTCCTTCAAAGACATTATAGGGTGTCTTTGTAGCGCTTTTTTGCGCCAACTTTGTACCTCCCAGAGAATATAGTACTGCCTTGGTATGGTTATGTACCTTGCTTTAAAAAGAATTTAAGTAGCAGATGCTGCAGAGTGTAAAATGTTATTGGAGCAACTGAATTAACCCAAGATCGCTACGTATCTTTCCCCCTGCTGTTTACCTGCCTATAGACTGTACATTCTTCATTCTTCCGCATCAAGTCTTGATTGATCTCTTTTAATTTGTTTGTGCAGTTGGTGTGTGTGTAGGAGGTGGGGGTTGAACTTTAAATAGTTTAAAATTAATTGCCTATTACAAATGTCTTTTTTATGCTCTATGTACGTGCTTAACGTTTCAAACCTCAAGATTTTTAAACTTTGTTATTAATAAACTCAACACCTGTACTTATTCATGCCCCCACCCCCCCAATACACACACAAGCCTCGGAATAAGTGCAAGTGAATCTGTATGTTTGTGTTGTTGTTATGTATCTCTATTAGTGTTGCTCCGTCTAGATTTTTCCAGTACAGAGTTGTCTTGGCTACGCAAAGGAGAAAGGGGGGCTCTCGTGGTCTAGATGTTATGGTGTTCGCCTCTCATTCAATAGGTCCCAGGTTCGAAACCTGACAACGAAGGATAATTTTCTTCTCTAAGAATGTTCTCCTTTCACCTCTTTTCCTGCTCTTTAGTCATGTTCTGTCGTCTGCTTTCGTCTGCACTCTCTGCCCCCTCCCCCCTCCCCTTTGCCTCCCCCCTCTGGGCTCCTGGCTCTTTCTGCAGCCTTTCTGCTGCTACTCTTTGGCCCCTTTTTACTGCTGTCTTTCAGCCACACCCTTTATCTACGATCTGCTCGGGTTCCTATCCAACTAAAAATGTTTGTGTCCTGCGCGGTCATAATATGACCTTATGCAGTTGCAAGCGCCGTAAAATCGATTTTACGACCACCAAGTGATCTTTAACGTGCGCAACTTGCACGCGAGACTTCCAAGTTTTTTTAGCCTTTATCCAAGAAGACAAGGTGTTAGATCTTACCTTCCGGTACCATAAGATAAGGGGTGTGGTTGAAAGACAGCAGTAAAAGAAGGAGCCAAGGAGTAACAGTAGAAGGGAGCAGAACAGTCAGAAGTCCAGAGGAGGGGCAGGAAGAGGGGAGAAGGCAGAAACTGCAGACGAAAGCAGACAAAGGAACATGGTTTGAGAGCAGGAAAGGAGGTGAAGGGATAATTTTTTTTAGAGAAGAAAAATTTCCGTCGCTGTGAGGTTTCGAACCCGGGACATAATGAATGACAGGCGAACACAGCAAACTCTAGACCACTAGAGTCCCCTGTGCGTGTGTGTGTGTGTGTGTGTGTGAGAGTGTGTGTGTGTGTGTGTGTGTGTGTGTGTGTGTGTGTGTGTGTGTGTGTGTGTGTGTGATACATTGAATGTGTATGCATGTATGGATGTATTGATGGATGGGTGTGCGTGCGTGCGTGCGTGCGTGCGTGCGTGCGTGCGTGCGTATGTATGTATGTATGTATGTATGTATGTATGTATGTATGTATGTATGTATGTATACATGCATGTATGTATGTATGTATGTATGTATGTATGTATGTATGTATGTATGTATGTATGTATGTATGTATGTATGTATGTATGTATGTATGTATGTATGTATGTATGTATGTATGTATGTATGTATGTATGTATGTATGTATGTATGTATGTATGTGTCTGCCTGTCCGCGTGTCTGTCTGTCTGTGTGTCTGTCTGTCTGTCTTCCTGTCTGTGTGTGTATGTGTACATCCGGGTTTTTTTTGTTTCAGTAAGGGTTTTACGGTACTTGCAACACAAATAGGTCATGTAAGTGCCGAGAATTAGAGGTGTTTCTAGAGAGTAACATACAATATAATTATGAATATATGTACAGCATGTAGATCGAGAGATAGACACTAGATGCCAGAGAGCCAACGCAGTCAGCTACCAACTGGGCCCTCTCCTGAAACATCCCAATATCCCCATGAGCACCAAGGCGAAGCTCATCAACGCCATTTTCCTTCCAACGCTCACATATCAGTGCCAGACATGGACTCTAACAAAAGCCCTAGAGAGGAAACTGGTCACATGCGAGATGAAATGCTTAAGAAGAGCGGTCAACAAAACAAGAAGAGACCAAATTAAAAATGAAGTCATAAGGGACACCGTGGGAGCAACACCAGTCCTACCACACATTGAAAAACAAAAGGTCAAGTGGTTCGGACACCTCACGCGGATGCCCTCAAACCATCCAGCTCTGAGAGCATACAACATTAAATATTCTGGATGGAGAGCCAGAGGAAGACCAAGGCGACGATGGAGTGAATCTGTGGCAGACACCCTTAAAGATCATGGGATGTCCCTCCTACAGGCCACACGACTTGCTGCAGACAGACACCTGTGTCTCCCCGAGACACCCCAGGGGACAAGCGGAAGAAAAAAGTAAAAGTAAAAAGTAAGTACATCATGTAAAAAACATCCTTTTTAACGCAAGCACACGTGCATCATATTTGTATTTGGACAGACAGAGACGAGAGACAGCGAAAGGGGAGCGGGTTAGGGTGACGGGAGAAGTAAAAAATGAGACAGACATACATACAGACAGACAGAGAGAGAGAGAGAGAGAGAGAGAGAGAGAGAGAGAGAGAGAGAGAGAGAGATGAAACCTACCGTACTCCCGCTGTAATACCGGTACATGAAGTATTATAGTCCCTCGTAACCATGTACATTACTACATGTAGTGAGTGGAGCACCCGTGTGTGTCCCTGGGACCCAGGTTTACCCCCTCGGTGTCCACTAAGAGGAACTCTCCTACGTTTTGAGAGGGAAGAATGGTTGTGCTTTGTGTGCCGACTGCTATACAGTACACAGAGGTACATTCTATACACTTGAAGGTGTGATCCAAGGTGGCTGGCTGGGACCTGACCCTCCAAGGTTACACACAACTAATCTGTTCATTACCCTTTCTTTCATTATCGTATTACTCTGAGAGAACCTTAACATCGCCATTGAGACCAAAGCCAAGCTCATTAACTCTTTCTTAATCCCCTCCCCACCTTGACCTGCCAGTGCCAGACATGGACCCTGACCAAAAGCCTGGAACATAAGATAACCACCTGCGAGATTAGATGTTCAAGGAGAACCGTCAACAAAACCAGACGGGACATGGTCAGAAACAACAAGATCAGAGAAATAATGGGAACAACACCTGTCCTCCACTACATTCGAAGGCAAACAATCAGGTGGTTTGGGCATCTCACCACATTGCAAGTAAAGCCTACTACATTAAAAAAAAGTATCGGGTACATGGCAAGAGGAAGACCAAGAAAGACCAGGATCCAGGGTTTTAAGGATACCGTGAGAACATACAATATCCCACCCAGCCAGGCCATCAAACTTGCTAGAGACAGGAGCTCTTTCTCCCCTCGACGCCCTAGAGATACAAGAGGACGGATAAAGTAAATCAAAGTAAGTATCACTCGAGATTTTGCGGTAACAGATTATTATTATGGCTATACATGTACTGTAAAACTCTATTCTATGATATTACTTGGCTGAATGAGGGCGCGTTGCAATATCACGTTGACTATCAAAGACTGTTCTGCAGGGTAGAGCCTGCGGAGGCAGTAACTAATCAGGGGAAGGCAGAAGAAAACAATAAGGGATGTTAACACCTCAGAGTGGACTTGTCTGAAAATAAAACATGTATACTGATGCTATGAGCAAGTCCAACAAGGGAACGGGGTGGAATGATATGAGTGTCACGTCATCCGTGTCACCCCGACGTCTATGTCTTGAGCGTGTGCTTATGTGTGTGTGTTTGTGTGTGTGTGTGTGTGTGTGTATGTGTGTGTGTGTGTGTGTGTGTGTGTGTGTGTGTGTGTGTGTGTGTGTGT